CATGCCAAACAAATTAAATTCAGAACCTTAAACATCAAATATCTTATTGCACGAGAGAAACTTGAAGCAATGTGAGGGATGAACTTTAACATCCCCCAGTTTATTGTTTGGCAAATAAAGGTTGTTATTTTGAAAACCTTACTCTTTTCGGCATTGACTTTAAAGTTGGTGTTGTTTGCAGAATGTATATGCAATGCGTATGAGCCTGCTTTTGTATATACCTTCCTGCAGTTTAAAATTACTACCAATTTACATTTGGATCATAAATTACATTAAAAACGACTATATCAACTTTAGAGTTTTTGGTGCTTCTGAATCGAAACTTGAATGCCTTTTAATCTCTTGACCCAAAGATCCATTTAACATTTTTATGATGGTATTAAGGGGTGCAGAGGGTTGTGACAAAAAGATGTTTAAAATGTTTTCGATGTCCCCCATTCTATCTCAGCTGATACGGTTTTAAGATTGTAAATTCGTATTCGCAGTCGCTCGCTTTGAAATGATAACAATGGATACATTGTGCTATAGAAGTAAGTTTTTTGATCATTGAAAAAATTCACTATGTGTACTGATCAACACAACAACTTTTAAAATAGAGCTGCCTAATAAGAGCCTTGTTTACTGCCTACCGATTCTCCAAGGAAGCTTTGCACCTCAAAGAGTACGTTTTAGAACTGGGTACATAAAAATAATGCAATTCCAATATGCTTAAAATTGCAAATTAATAATATCCAAGTTCACCCACCCCCTCAAACTTCTGCGAGGGGCCAGTTTAGTTGAAATCCCCGCTAAAACTAATAAATTTTTGCCTGAAACATTTTGCAGTCTGCAAAGAAATTGCGATGAAAATTTACATTTTGTTAATCCCAACACTTCAAAAATTTGTGAACAATTAAATTGCAAATTCAGATTGAAAAGCCGATGGAGGAACCTTTGAAACTTCCAGCATTTTAAAATGCAATTACTTCAAATTCGGGCATGATATTACTTCGAAACTCTAGACGCAAAATTATTTTTCGATAAAGTAAAAATATATTATTTTACAACTTAACGTGTCGTTCTTTGTTACGCTTTCTGCGCAAGTTTCGCAATTAATTCAAATTAGAATACTGTAAATTAACTAAAAACTTATCCATAAAGTCCACTGTCAACATATCTAGTAAATGTCGTAGTTTTAACATGGTATTCAATAAGGATGTTTAAAGTTCATTGAAGAACAGTACAATAATCCTTAGATGTTGTGAGAATTTGTGGTATCGCTATTAAGTAAAATATGTGCTGTGTAATTTTTGTTATGAACAATATAGCCTCTGGCACGACGCGCAGAATATTTTCCTAACACTTCCCTGATCAAAATTATTAACTCTGAGGATAGATGCATTACATGCAAAATTGAATTGAAAATGTGTCCGAAAGCCACTATGAAAGCCCGCACCTAAGCCAGCAAAGAAATGTTTTAAGTTGCCACGTTATTTCATAAGAAACATTTATATTCCTGTGTAGTATATATGTTACAGACCGTATATGTAAAACCGGCAGTATAGAAAATGACTAGTCCGTATATAAACGGACTGAAGATTTCAGTCTACATGTATAAAAAATGTATCCTTCAGGAAACGGACTAGTCGGTTTGTAAAAGGACTAGACTGTTTCTATACGGTCCAACTTCGACTAGTCCATATGTAAACGGACTAAACCCCGGTTAATGCAGACTTTATGCAGTTTTAGATTGGCATTTATTTTAAAAAGGCGGCAAAAAAATTAGATATCGAATGAACTCATCGATGCAACGTCGTAAAACATATATTTTAAAATTTGAGTTTATATTATTAATGACTACATCTGATTTACTTTTGTAATTTTATATCTGAAATATATCATATTTAGCGTCGCCTTTAACAAAGAACAAACTATTTTTACCACAATTTTTGCAGTTAACAGTTGAAAATGTAAACACCACATAAAACATCATTGCGCTTGAACAAACGGTCTGGATAGCAATCGTCCGTATATAAACGGTCTAGTCTGTATATTAAATGACATGTCTTTTTGCATACGGTCTGCTGTATTAGGCCGTATATATATAGCCTAGTCTGTATATATACGGTCTGATTCTATATACTCTGTAACATATACATATCGGAGAAGCTTTTATATCGTCCTATGCAATAAAGTTCTGACCTTATATTTTATATATTTTCTATTCAATATATTTTATGATACTCTTTGAGTTAAAGAGTGCCACTAATTTTCAATTAAAAGCTCTTTCAAAGCCCTCTGTAGGTACTTCTTGCAAATTTACGATTACACTTCCGTAATACTCTTGCAAAAGTATCGATTTTGTATTAAACCAAAAGCTCCCGGACCTTTCTTTTAAAACTTATAAGCCTTTGATCTGCCATCTCCGTATCAAGTAATCGGCGAACGAGTGGTTTTCTGCCGGTAAGCCCCAATGCCCCCATTTCGTGCAATTTTGCGATTTCCAATATGTAGTTTCGGTTAGTAGAGATGAACGTACTATTAAACTAAAGGGTTATATCTTTTTGATTGAACCGGAATATCCGACTTGGTTAGGTTCCGCTATAGTAAATCTTTTCAGGAATTCAAGCATCTGAAATAAAACGATGACCGTTAGAAGTTACACCGATCACTCCATGCATATTGCGGTGATCTGTGATATCGTTTGCGTTTTTAATCTTACCCCTAGCACTTTCATTGCAGGTGTAAATAATTTCTCTTCAAACAAAATTTTTGTGTAAAACATAAACCGGAAAGTTTATTGGGATCTTTATTTATTAGAGTCTAATAGTATACACAACCAGGCAATTAGGTATTGTGCTGTCTGAACTCTTCTTTTGAGGTTTATAGTAATTTTACGATTTGTAAACATAAACTTCCGTTTTCCAAAGACTATCCAAGTTAGTCTTATCCTTCTCTTAGTATCCGCTGTTTGGTTTTCTTTTCCCATTCTTATTGTGTGTCCTAAATATATAAACTTTTCTACAGTTTAAAGTTTTGCGCCATCTATGTATGTTTGTTTCGAATTGTTACTTAAGATTTTGGTCTTTGAAAGAACATTTCAAAGACCCGATCATTTTAGAGGCATCGCTCAGTTGATTTAGCATCTCTCGCAGTTCCTGTATATTGCTACTTATTATGACATCATTATTATGACAATATCATCAAAAATGTCACATTTATGGTAAGCATGAAATTTTCTGTTGTAAAAATAAAATTTCCTTATTAACTTGTTCAGAAGTTCGTCCATTCCTTTAACTAAAAGATTATTTAGTGGTGATCGGTGCTATTCGCTATGCCGGAATGCCCCAGTAGGTGAATAAACTACCTTAACTTCATTTCATGTGCCTGAATGAAAGGCAGAACAGAATAGAAACAAGTCATGAATATTTAATCAACGACATATTACTTTCCGATACTGCGCCAGGAAATCGCCCATATTTCTCGATTTTTATTGAGCTTAAGAATTTAAAATTTAACAATTTAGATATCGAGTGGTATTTATTGTACTTGGTACCATTTTTAGTGCCTTTTTATTGATCCATTTATTAACTCTATTCAGCTGTGTTGTGGCTATAGAAAGTCTCTGTAAATTGGGACCAAAAATTACTCTTTTTGCTGAAATAACAGGATTTTTAATAAGTTTCAGTTTACAGCTACCAAATTAAATTTAATTACTATTTAAATTTATTTAAACTATTTAATCAAACGAAAGTGCTTAATAGTAGAGAGCTGTTTTTTCATGTTATTCAGCTATTGGTATTCCACTATCCGTTTGAAATTGCTATTAAGCAACTTATTTGTTTTCAGTTTCTTACAAAAAGTTAGTATATTTGCGTTTTCAACTCGATTATACAATTTAGAGCAGAACTTAAAATTAATTGCATGATTTGAAATATAGAAGTTTACGTTACATACGTTTTTAAAACAAACTGTCACAGCTTCAATTTTAGAAATAAATCACGTTTCTTTGCTATTCAACTTGTCTAGAGACGCACATTTCTTAAAAAGTAAAATTTCGGAAACCAGACACACGCCATACACGGTTGAATAAACTATTTAATTCTAATTAAATTATTTGCCTAAAACCCTTGATATTTTGAAAGATGGGTTAATAACTTAGGTCTTCAATGTGGGCCTTCAACCGTAAATACTGTGGCGAAATATGCGAAGGTATTCTGTATGCTACTTTCATTTTGTATTTTAGTTTAGTTACGAACTGAAATAAAGATGAAATTGTGATGCATTCTTGGAACATGTTATGGAAATTTCGTTTGATATGTATTAAAAAAAAAGTTCCAGCAACTAATCTAATTTTTTAATAAATGAAAATGGCCAATAACTTATAGAAGCTCATCATCTCATCAGCCAAATAATGGCTCGTCGTATATTAAACAGCTGAAAATTTCAAAAGACTGATTTTCATATAAATAAAAGAATACGTATACGATTGCGAAAAAAAATTAATTCTCAAAAATCTGGCTTTGCAATTTCTACGGTTAATTTTGAGGAACAAGTCTGAAATACAGAGGTTCTAAATTTTTTTATTATCTACAACTTTTGTATCGAGCGTTTTTTGCTAGGAGATTACGTTATCACATTAATGAATGAATATCACACAATGAAGAAAATGTGTTTTTTATTACAGAAACAAACGCATTTTCTACATTGTGAAAACATAGTATTCAGTTGTTTAATTCTAAATATAATATTGAATCGATATAACTGACTAGTTCCAATTATAAAATTTTCATTCCTGGATATCGCTTCTAACTGGCTGGTTTCAATTATAAAATTTTCACTCCTGGATATCGCTTCTAACTGGCTAGTTTCAATTATAAAATTTTCATAAAAGTGATATCTAATCAAATATTTGTTTTCGCCAAAGCTGACCCCCACATATGAATGAAGTGTATATATCCGACAACATAAATTAATAGTTATGTACTGCAATATTTAATCTCGCTGATAACCCGGTTCATGCTTCATGTTTGACCTTGTTTATGAATCATTGAAACAGTAGTTTCGTGTAAGTGAAACTGAAGACACGCCATGGTTTTGTTAAAAAATGCAGTGCTTTTGTTGGTTCTGTTGTGTGAATCTTGCAATTCAGAACACAATTTTATGATTACTTCTGGTTGGTATAAAGCAAAGAAGAAAAGTGATAAAGTGGTAATAAAAAAAGCGCACAGTCTTGGACCTGACGTTATTCCGCGAGCATCGACGTATATTAGGATAGGCGGTACTGTACCTGTTTTACCATCGGGAGCTATTCATGATCTGGTGCATTTAATAGATCTAAAAATAACATCTGCTGTAATCGAAAAAGTTCATGCAGGTGCCTTTCAGAACTTGCCTAAACTATCGAAGCTCAATCTACAAGATAATATCATTCAAGATATTCCGTTTGGAGTCTTCAACAAACTGAACATATCCGTATTGTTCTTGAACAAAAATGAAATATCTACAATCGACAGTGATGCTTTTGATGATATGCCAAATTTAACTAAAATCAAACTGAATTCCAACAAACTATCGACATGGAGCAGTGAGTGGTTCAAACGCACCCCCCGACTTGGCACAATATTAGTGCGAAGAAACGCCATAGAAGAAGTGCATAAATATGCCTTCAAAAACTTGGCAACTAATGAAATTAAAGCTTTGAATATTTACTTAAGCAAAAACCTGATTAGGACTATTCATCCTCAAGCTTTCAGCGGTATAGCGAAATGGGGCGACGTTTTTCTGGACCGCAATCAACTCACACAGTTAGAAGGGGATATTTTTGAAAACGTTCAAAGTATCAGGAAACTGAATTTATCGAGAAACAATATCAGCGGTATATCGGACAATCTCTTCAAAACTGTTAGATCAGTAGAAATGTTGGATTTAACAGCCAATCATCGGTTAGAATGTGTTCCAGTCATAGTGGCCAAGCAGGTTCAGAAGCTGCAGCTAGAAAACATCAGAAAACTAACATGTGCATGTGTGAGTGACTTGTCGAATATTACGAAGTTACTTGGTACTGAAAAGTGCTAATATAGTTATAGCCGAGTTAAAGGTAAATTGTCCTGACACAATTTCCACATAAAATGTTGAATATAGCACGATATTTGCCTGCGGTTTAGGGGCCGTCTTGGCGGACTAAATTGCAATGGCTTCTTTTTTAATTTTACTAGATGAGGTGAGAATTAGCTTAGATTTAAAGAATAACTGTAGTATTTTAATTTTATCAAAATGGGCAAAATTACATATACCACTACTTTTTCAAAATTTCACACCCCACAACGCCTGGCAAATGTATCTAATAAATTGTTGCATTTTCAGAGCATTTTTTATTGCAATAATTTTCGTATTCTATTTAAACGCTTAAGTAATTGCTGCGGATACTGCAATTATTTTAAGCAAAGCAAATTTCTTGGGCAGTTAAGTATAATTCAAGATTAACCTATTTAGCTTCGTGATAGGTGGAAGTCCACACATTTTTCATTGGCTAGAATTTGAATTTATTAAACCATCTGTATGTAATAACTAAAATCGCTTTTGAATACAACTTTCTTCATAAACAACTAGAAAATAATAGCTTCATCATTATCGCCAATACTTATTAAAGTTGTCGAAGTCGTCTTCATTACTTCGGTTCCATTTTTTCGTGTTTTGAACAGTTTAACATGCAATTCAGTTCTGTCTTCATTTCGGAAAAGTCTATTGTTTTTTTTTGAGCAAATTGCAGATGTAGCTTATCTTTTTGTCTGGAAAATGTGTAGTTTGATTTAATCTGTGACAAAGTAATTTATTATGTTCTGTTATGGTGTTCTGTTATGTGTATAATAGACTGACACTATTTAAGCATAGTTTTTTCTTTATTTTTGCGCCATAGTGATTTTAATGTAAACAAATTTCTGGTGAAATCTTGGATATTCATGTTCATGTTTATTCTTGTTGAATACAACAAACGTCTTACCAATAAGCTTAATCCGTTCGTTCCAAAATCAAAAAGTTACCGAAATTTATTTATGCATATCACAGTTACCGGTCAATAGTCCGCCTTAAAAATTTTAAATGCATAGTTGCAAAACCCTCAAAACTATCATGACAAATGTTTGCTAACAAAATAGGCAACTTGCAATCTTTCTGATATTATCATGTTTGTTTTTATCCCAAGAAAATATTGTTAATCACTTACAAAAAATGTTTTTGAAGAAGGAGCTATCAGGCGTATGGAGTAACAATTATAGCAAATCTTCCCAATTTTCTAATATCTAAAAATTTATAACTGTTGCTTATTTTCTTTCGGTGATTCAAACTCTAATTTTTCTACGACGCCAATACTGCACAACTTCTAATAGTAATCATAGCAGCTTTACTGCAAAACCCCGAGGTAGGCTCCAAAATCGCATTTGAGAGGCACATTGCCCTCAAAATTCATAGCTTTTCCTGTTCAGCTACACTCTAGCTTTTTAAATTTGATTTCAAATGAGTTTCAAGGAGCTGAATGATGGTGATCGGTTTTATGCACGCCTGTCAGAGTAAAACCTTGATATTAAACGAAAATTGAGTTTTGAGAGGAAGCTCGTTTTGGAAAGTTTTTAGAAACGACGCTAGTTTTAAAAAATAATTCGATGTTACCATTTATTTAAAACATATCGTAAAAGGTAATAGCGATATACAATACAGAAAAACCTTTTTCATATTGTAGGTACTTATAATTTTTTTTAAATGTTTCTCTACCAAGAATTTTCCGTAATGCTTAAAATTTGTATTATTATTAATATGATTATTAAATTAGTCGAAGGTGTTGATGTATTTATTCTCTTAGCTACTACCGCTGTTAATGCAAGTATACCCTCAAAACAGTAGTTTTTAATGTACTTATAGACAAAACTCATTAATGTCTCTCATACCAAGTGTAATTCCAGCAAAGGCAAGGGAAAAAATTGTACTGCTAGCAAAAATCCGCACTCTCAATAAAAACGAAATTAAATCTACTATAAAACATAAAAATTTAATAGTAATAAATTAATTGCTTATTCATGTCAGGGGTTTCATTTTTTAAGATTCAAGAGATTGTCTCAATGCTCATGCAATGCCTATAAATACTAAACGCAATAATGTTATATCTGCATTTCCAAAGTTAGTAACATAATTTGAAATTAAATTTGGAGAGTATCTGCATACCGAAGTAGAATAATGCACAACTAGTTATTGTGATGCTAGTAATCACACCAATCATGAAACACTTGTGTGGCCTATTAATAATAAAAAATAACTTTTATACTAACTAATTTCATTGGGTAAACAGATAAAATATGTTAATCTACATATATTAGTCAATTGTGTAAAATAAAATAAATATGACTAAAAGATTTTTGACCAGCGACCAAAGTTTCAGTTTTAAGTCACTGCTTAAAGTTCAATATTTCCTTTTCATTTCTCCACTAATATGGACAAACGAAACGTTCCTATTGACCGACTCCAATAGCGGAAGGTATAATGTAGGTAAGTGTAATAACAATTGAGTTCCAAAAATTCCGTTTTAAGAGAGATTTGAAGAAGATGTTGTAATTGTTGAAAAGGGATACTCGTATTCTGTACTGGTTCGATCCCTCAGGATAACTATAATAAAAGTTTAAATCTACTAAGTTCAAGTTCCTATATGAGGCTGTATAAAATGCACGCAATTGTAATTATATGACTTTTCCGAGACACCGGGCATAAAAAATAAAATTTATTCAATTTGAAACTAAAAAGAAATTCCCAGAATAGTCGCTACTTTTTCGTTCATGCGTTCTCCTGAACTGTAAAATAGTAATGTATTAATTTCTTTCAGTTACATTATTTTGATAGACTCTTAAATTTAAAATTATGATTGCTGGCACTATTTAGAATTGAATAGAAATAGAACTCCTTCGTCTTATTAGAAGAATTCACCTCGATAGCACAGAATTCACCTCGATATGTTTTAAGTCATATTCCTGTTTTGAATTACATTTTGATGTCGAATTCTTCAGTTCAATACACAATATAATTTTTTAACGTAATACTCACAATAAAAATTAACATACCAGAAGCAAGTTTAAATAAAATATGAAATTGACTTTATACTAAAGAAGAAAACACCTAATGGTGGAAGTCAGTTTACCTCGCATTCGCTGTTATATTTAGAATTGTTCATCAGTTTATTCTCGGGAGAATACGTTTTCATAGTCACGATTTAGGTGGAAGACATAAAGCCGTCAGACATATCCCGACATATCCACAAAAGCCAAATATTCCAGTTCCTACGTTCCAGAACTGATGCATTCCATTTTTACTACTTTCTTGGCGTCAATATCTGAACATTGTAACTCAAAGCTGAGCCAAGCCAAATTTAAAACTATTATTTATATTCAATAGAGTTATTCGCATGTACATAAAAGCTCTATAACTCAAATTAATTATCGAATACTTACAAAAATTAATGTTAACACAAAAGCTAACTTGTAACTAAATTAAATTTACTTCTCCAACAAAAGTATGGCCGAAAATGAATCACGTTTTACAGGCAACAGAAAAAACCTCATAAATTTCGACTTTCATCAGAAAATCGCTTAACAAAATTGGGGTGAGCCTCTTCCACTAATTCGAGCGAAGATGACGTAAAACAAAAAGTTTCATCTGTATAAAATATTACGGGTTACGGAAAATAAATCTCGTTTTCAGTTACTTAAAGCTAATAGAATTTGGTAATAGTTAAGATAGTTAGAAATTAGGGCCACTTAAAAAAGCGAAAGACAGCGATATTTATTAATTTATGTACACAACAGTTTTTTTGCGGTATTAAGCCGTAGTGGGAAAAATACTTCTCGACGCTTTCAACCATTCTGCAGAGGTGTTTCGTTTGTGATACAAAAGGTGAAGATCAGTTTTATGTAAGCTTTTTTCTTTCTTCTTCGTAAGCTTCTTTTATGTAAACACTTACGAAGATGCAAGCCACTCATATTTCGCAAGGTCCGCAATAATTTAGTTGTCTTGACGGCCTAAGATAGAAAAACTGGCCAGTTTCACGCTATTTTCAGCTGTCGAATTTAACAAGTCATCAAGTTCGACTCAGAATTAATTGAATAAAAGAAAGTTGAGCTTGTCAAATAATAAAATTGATTAATAACCTATAGCTTATTGTTTATCGTTATTAATATATATTATTGCATAATTATTGCGGAGTCGATACATAAAAAAATATATTTTTAGTCCAATATCCACTATAACTTTTTGTTCCTCGTGTCATGAATTTTTAAAATTCAATTTATTTCGTGACATCTTCCGTACAAACATATCTCAAAAACATTCTGCCTCTTTGTCTTCGATTTTTTTAAAATTAAAATTACCTGGTGAGCAAGCATCGGGAATACGATGCATAAAGCATTAATACTTTCAAATCTAACATAAGGAGCTTGATGCAAAATTCCCATTTCATTATTTGATTTTTTATAGCTCCTAAGTATTTATATTTTTCTATTCTTTCGATCGTTTGACGTTCTCAATTAAGATTTACATTCTCTTGAGGTTTCCTTGCTATGAGCACAGAATGATTCTGAAGTTTAACTGATCGTACGATTTATGGACCGGCACCAATATTTCACGGCTGTAATAAGCACATAAGACTCAAGTTTCGATTCGAAAATGGAGGCTGATGAACGGATACCACCACATCCAGGCACAGGAAGGTGTTGACAAAAAAATAAAGATATTCAAGCCTCATAATAACAGGATAAATAGGTCAAGTCTAGCTTCAATAGCGTATTGATGAAGTTAAAAGGGTCATAATTTAACTTACGTACGTCTCGTTCCGCCGGTTTGTCGCTTCAGATATAAACTGGCAAGTCAGCAAAGAACCTACCATTAACGACATTATTTATTCTGGGTCTGATGTCGCAAACGGCATTTTATCATTTAAAATTAAATAAATTACGCCAGTGCCTTTAATTTTGGTTAAGGTGTTCGTGTAAGCGTTTTATAACTTCGACATTTGCGACAATGTTGTTATATTTGTTATATGTAATGTATATTTTATTCGCTTTTTATTATATTTAACCATCCAGAACTAGAAAAACAATTGATAGAACAAACATATTTTGCTTTCGATATAATTAATTGTATTTAAGCAGCGCAGACCTCTCAACGTTATTGACTCGCTTGAAACACAAATTTCAGAATTGGTGATTTCACAGTATTTAGGGAAGGAAAAAGCTACCAACAAGTTTGACGGGGCCATTCATAACAGGGAACTTGATGAAAGGGACCAACAGTAAGATGGTAATGCAATTCAAGAGGAAACTGGCAAACAAAATATATATTTTTATGAAACTAAGATAATCGGCTCAATGAAAATCTACAAAGGAGTAAAACGACATAAATGATCCAATATAGCTACTAAAATCCAATTTAACGGACATTTAGATATTACATTTTCAGCCAAATGGCGTTCCTTACTGAGTGTTTAATTTATTTCTCCAAAATCGTATTCTAAGTGCTGAAATGTGCTGTTCGCCTACTATAACTTTCAAAATTTAATTTAAAAACTTTAAATTGCTCATGCTACGAACTTTCTAGCGCAGCAGGTTGTTTGTTGACTCAGTGACAGTGCTTTTCTTTCATATTTTTCTAACATTGCCCGAATAAATTAAATTTTAAATTTTATTAAGTTATAAGTCTGTTTTAAACTGGCAGTAGGGCTGATTCATTGTCTAGCTAGAGGCCGGTTTTTGAAAGTTTTGAAGCCTTCGGTAACTCCACACTATTCTAATGTTTACACATGGTGTACGTACTTTTGAGATGTACGTACCTTTGAGAAGTTTATCTACAATCAATTGGT